GCCAGCCGCCATCTTGGCTGACAGTTAATTTGCATATCTCCCTGATTAGCCAATGGGAAGGTTAGCAGTCGTACGCCAATTACCATGTTTCTCTTTTATTAGATTAGATTTCTACTAGAGGCCAAGTGCACGAAATTTCGTGCACTGGGTATGTGTGTTTGGGTGCAGGAGCCCTTGAGGGGATGTCCAACTATGGCTTAGGCCTGTGGGGAGTGGGCCTAAGCCGCAGTCGGACATCCTTAGCACTGCTGCAGAGGCAGGCTTGGCTCCCACCACCACAGCTGTGCTTGCTAGCTGTCAGCCTGGCTTGTGGCTGAGCGGATCTTCCCCTATGGAGTGCACTGAACACCAGGGGGCAGTTCCTGTGTTAAGCGTCTGCCACCTGGTGGTCAGTGCGTATCATAGCAACCAGTCATTCCAGCAACTGGCATTCTGCTGTTTGGTCAATTTGCATATTATCCTTTTATTATATAGGATTGATTTTAGAGAGAGAAAGGGAGAGGGATAGAAAGATAGAAACATCAATGAGAGAGAAATATGATCAGCTGCCCCCTGCACACCCCCTGTTCGGGATCAAGCCCACAACCCAGGCATGTGTCCTGGTCAGGAATTGAACCTCAACCTCCTGATTCATGGGCCATGAATGGCTGAAAACATTTTGAAAGAGCCATGCTGGCCGAGCTAACTCAGTATAATTGACCTCATTCTCAAGTGCTTTTGCAATATGAAAAGGGAAATTGTAAATTGTTAAAAAGTAACTCAGTTAAATTTGTGGTATTTCACCATTTGTTGGTAGGACTTTGTGCCATTGTATCAGGATTTTGAAAACTTCTATACAAGGAACCTCTACATGAGGATTAGAGACAACTGGAATCGACCAATCTGTAGTGTGCCTGGAGCCAGGATGGACATCATGGAGAGACAATCTCATGATTACAACTGGTCATTCAGGTAAGTCTTGTTTGGGAAATTATTTCCTAACAACAAAAAGGAATTTTTTGACTTTTTAAAATATTCTATTGCAAATTTGACAGTATTTTGTCAAAACAGCAGTGGAAGCTGAAAATACAATACAATGTGATTAATTTCCTTGCATATTGTTCATTGTTATTGGGATGTTTAAAATACAATACATTTTTTTATTAGTTTGATACTGTGTTGGGTTATAGTTGAAAGCAAAATTTGACCTAGTAAAACAAAACAAGCCCTAGCCGGTTTTGCTCAATGGGTAGAGCATTGGCCTCTGGACTGAGGGGTCCCAGGTTTGATTCTGGTCAAGGGCACATGCCTGGGTTGTGGACTCAATCCCAAGTTGGGGGCGTGCTGGAGGCAGCCAATCAATGATTTTCTCTCAGTGATGCTTCTATTTCTTTCTCCCTTTCCCTTCCTCTCTGAAATCAATAAAAATATATTTTAAAAAGACAAGAACAACAAAAAAACAATACAAAGAAAAACTGTCTTTTCTATTATACTACTTACCAGAATCAAGTATCTGAATTTATTTCTGGGTATTTTGATTTCTCAAATGATTGAAGGATATGTAGAGTGTTTTTACTTAAATGGGTTCAGTAGTTTAGAAAACTTTATAAAATTTTATTTTGTTTAGATTGCTCAAGAATTACATGATTGCATTGCTATTAAAAAAAAAAAAAAGACAAGCAATAAAGATAAATTGAAAGTCCCCATGAGAACTAACCACTATCCCTTTGCAAATCCACTGCCCTACTAATCCTCACTCCCCAGAGGTAACCATTGTTATCAGTTTGTAGTGTGTTATTCCTCCAGGTGTTTTCTGTGGGATATATATGTAATGTATCTAGTAGGATTACACACAGTTTTTGATTTACAAAAATGGCATCATACTATAGAAATGATACTGCATCTTGTTTTTTTACTTGCTAACATATCAGTAACATCTTTGTGTATATTCACAGCAAGCTCATTATTTGTAGTGGCTACTTAGTATTCTATAATTTTGATGTTTATAGTGTACACATGTAGGTTGGACTGCATCATCCTGTGTTAAAAACTCCAAAATCTCAAGTTAAAAGATTGGCAATTTATTTCTTGTTCATACTTCATGTTCAACTTAAGTTGGATTTGCCTCTGAACCATGTCGTCTTCACTTGAGGGGTCAACTGTCTGAGCTTCCACAATTAGGAATGTCACTGGTTTGTGTGCCGGGGAAAGAGACATGGTCACAATTGTATTGTGACTCTTTTTTTTTTCCTTTGGTTAATCCTCACTGGAGGATATCTTTTAATGGATAAGTACTGTCAAACTGCCTTCCAAAAAAAAAGTACTCTGATATTCTTTTTTTTTAAATATATTTTATTGATTTTTTACAGAGAGGAAGGGAGAAGGATAGAGAGTTAGGAAAATCAATGAGAGAGAAACATCGGTCAGCTCCCTCCTGCACACCACCTACTGGGGATGTGCCCGCAACCAAGGTACATGCCCTTGACAGAGATTGGCAAATACAGCTGGATTTTCACTTAGGGTCCCTAATGATGTGGTTAAGGGAGCAATTGAACCTGGGACCCTTCAGTCTGTAGGCCGATGCTCTATCCACTGAACCAAACCGGTTAGGGCAGTACTCTGATATTCTTATCTACAATGTATGAAATAGTCCTGACCAATGCTGGCTATGGTCAGTTTTTAAATCTTTATCATTATTGATAAGCAAAAATTGGTATTTTAACTTTCATTTCATTTATTGGTAGTGAGTTTGAGCTATTTTTCATTTAGACCATATTCTCTCCGTTTCTTACATATATTGCTTCCTTTGGTATTACCAATACATTTATTATCATATGTAAGTGTTTGACCATGTTCATGGGTTTCATGAACATTCATCCTATTGAAATACAGGTACACAGGGAATACGATTAAAGGTGTTATAAACATGGGTTCCTACAACTATCTTGGATTTGCACGAAATACTGGATCATGTCAGGAGGCAGCTGCCAAAGTCCTAGAGGAGTATGGAGTTGGCGTGTGCAGCACTCGGCAGGAAATTGGTGAGTATAGTCTGTTTGGCTAGCTGATGTTCTTAACTTTTTTACTCAGGAGGGAGTAATATGGATAGAGTGCTAGAATATTAAGTATCCAAATACATACTTTGCCATGTAGTTTAGATCAGATAAAGAATGCTTTATTTTTCTGAATTAATGGATGATTTTAATGCTTTCAACACATTTTGAGATGTATTTTTCTTTTCCATTATGTTATACATACAGAGTATGTTCAATACTATTGTTTCATTTATAACTTTAGTGTTGACTTTATTGACTTTTGCAAATGATAGTTCATTAAAGAGCACCACTTCATATCTGAGCCTGTGAGCATATGAAAGTTAATTCTATTTCCGTACTGGTAATTTGGGGCTAATAATAATTCCTACCTTATAGGATTGTTTTAAGAAGCTAATTCATGTAAAGTGCTTGTAACATGGTAAATACTCATTAAATGCTAATTCTTTTTATTAGTAGTACAAGTCTATAAAATGTAAAAGAGAATAGATTTATGTAAAGAGATTTAATTTATTTAGTTAAAAGGAAAATTTCAAATTCTTCATTTTGTTCTAGTGACTGGTAACCATTGAAGTTATAAGGCATCAGTCTGGATATTTATTACTGTGAAGCACATCAAAACTTAGTGGATTAAACAATTCAGCACGGCCAGTGTTGCTCAGTGGTTGAGCATGGGCCCATGAACCAGGAGGTCATGGTTTGATTCCCAGTCAGGGCACATACCCGGGTTGTGGGCTCAATCCCCAGTGGGGGGCATGCAAGAGGTAGCCAATCAATGATTCTCTCTCATCATTGATGTGTCTATCTTTACCTTTCTCTTCCTCTCTATGATTAAATAAAGAATAAAAAACAATTCATTGTTATTCGCATGGGTCTAGAGATTGGCAAATACAGCTGGGTTTTCACTTAGGGTCCCTAATGATGTGGTTAAGGGAGCATTAACAACATATAGAAATCACACATCTTTATGGCAGTTTATATTTTATAAAGTACTTTTTCATAAAGTGCACGCCAACGTCAACTAATGCCTGTCTTCTGCCTGGGGACACCCAGCATGAGCTACAAAGCAATCTGCAGATGCTTGCTACTTTTGCTGGGCTTGGAGTGCAACAAGGCAAAGCTGCAAACCAAGGCTGGCTGCTGCTAGTGCTGGGCCTGGGGCCACTTAGTGAGAACAACAGGGCATGCTGAGGCCAGATGCTGCTTGTTTGAGAGATTTTAGGAAAATCTGAAGCACAAGCCAAAACAGGCTATTCATTTGGAAAAGCAACTGGAAACAGTTTGGGTGGACCCACAGTTGGGTGGGATGGGGGTCTCAGGGAATCACCAGGGCCAGGAGAACAATGTCAGCCAGATTCATGGAGACTCAAATATGGTGCACATCTACCAGTTCTGTGGGTAGGGCATGAGGAGGGTCTCAAAAAAGGAACAATGGCCTCTGCCAGCACTTCTGTCTGGGAGAAAGCTGCCCCTCCAGACAGTTCAGTTCCTCTCTTTGTTTCCGTGGTGCCTTTTGAGCTGCTGCCCCAATGCTGGAACCCAGAGGGAATGAGTCAGAGCAAGTCTACGCATGGACCCTTTAAGAGAAACTGCCTAGGACTCCAGCAGCCCTCCATCTCACTCAGCCACAGTCAACGCTGGTTTTTACCCCCAGAAATTATGTGGATTTCTCTTCCTGGCACTGGAACCCTGGGCTGGGGAGCCGGGTTGGGTGCTAGGACCCCTCACTTCTCAGAGGGGACCTCCACAGCTGAGATATCCCTCCTGATTTTTTAAAAAAAATTTTTATTGTTTAAAGTACAGGTAGTCCTCAGGTTACGTCGGACTTGATGTAGGTTGTTTTGTGGTTACGTCGTCATCTCCCATTTACAGCATTTATTAAAAAAAGTTCTGTCATTTTGACATATGTGCTTTATGTTTTTTATTATTTATTTACCACAAGTAAAGGTCAGAAATTGGTATCTTTCTTCTAAATTTTTTTTACTGTTTCACTTCATTACTGCTATGTATGTGCTCCATGTGAGTGATGTAGGTGCTTATGTAGGTGGATTCTGACTTAGGGCGAAAATCACATTACATCACACCTTAGGAACAGATCTCCGACGTAACCCGAGGACCTACTGTATTACATATGTCTCCTTTATCCCCCCATTGACTTCTCCCCAGCTAGTCCCACTCCCTAGCACATGACCTCACCCCCACTACTCTCTGTGTCCCGTCCCCCGCCCCCCCCTCTAAGGTTGGACGGTCTGTTCAGTGCTTCTATGTCTCTGGACCTATTTTTGTTCATCAGTTTATGTTGTTCATTATATTCCACAAATAAATGAGATCATGTGATATTTTTCTTTCTCCGATTGGCTTATTTCGCTTAGCATAATGCTCTTCAGGTCCATCTATGCTGTTGCAAATGATAAGAGTTTCTTCTACAGCCGTGTAGTATTCCATTGTGTAGATGTACCACAGTTTTTTAATCCACTCATCTGCTGTTGGGCACTTAGGCTATTTCCAAATCTTAGCTAGTGTAAATTGTGCTGCTATGAACATAGGAGTGCATATATCCTTTCTGATTGGTGTTTCTGATTCCTTGGGATATATTCCTAGAAGTGGAATTACTGGGTCAAACGAGAGTTCCATTTTTAATTTTTTAAGGAAACTCCATATTTTTTTTCACAGTGACTACACCAGTCTGCATTCCCACCAGCAGTCTTCCTGATTTCTTATCCACCACACATGAGTGTGGGACCCGGCCATTCCTTGTTTCCACCCCTCCAACCAGTTCAGTGTGGCTTTTTTAAAATATTCTTAGTTGTAGGTCTTTCCTTCAGCTAGATTTCAGGCAGTAAAGTAATGAATGATTCTTAAATTTTGGGTTTGGTGATACTGACTTCATTAACTTCTTCACACAGGTAACCTGGACAAGCATGAAGAACTAGAAAAGCTTGTGGCAAGTTTCTTGGGAGTAGAAGCTGCTATGGCATATGGCATGGGATTTGCAACAAATTCAATGAACATGCCTGCTCTTGTTAGCAAAGTAAGACTTAGTCTGTCATTAATGAAAACTCCCTTATATATGTCATATTTTGTTTTATAAAACATTCAGAGCAAACCAGAAACTATTATAAATTTAGGTTAAATATAGTCTGCCCAAAGATATTTCTATCGCAAACTTTTGGATAAGTATATACCATAAAGACTTACATCAGTTGAAGCTTTCTTATTAGAACCCATGATCCCTTCCTCTCCCATTAGATGACACTTGCCTTCTTCATTTCATACAGTTTTAAAGGGATTCTAATAAATAAAACCTTATAAAATGGCTAAAACTATGGAAGAAAGAATGTTTCATTTGGAAAGTTATTTAACAGGTAGTTTTTCCCCAAATAGAAAAATTTGAAAATATATACTTGTTCTCACTGTAATGTATATTACTGAAAGACATATGAGCAAATTGTATGTGTGTCTATAAATATGTTAGTAATAATGTAAGTTAATAATGTGTGTAGAGCTTCTGTGAGGGGACAGTAGAAGAGAAATGATGAGACATTGTAAATCACATTTTAGCAGATTAACACTTTCAGTTTGAGCAGTTCTTCAAAGGTTATTTATTCTCATTTTAACAGTGATCTGTGAATGGTATCTTGAAAAAATGATCAGTGCCCTGAGTCAGAAGACTTGAGTTTTTTGTTTGTTTGTTTGTTTTTAATATATATTTTATTGATTTTTTTTACAGAGAGGAAGGGAGAGGGATAGAGAGTTAGAAACATCGATGAGAGAGAAACATCGATCAGCTGCCTCTTGCACACTCCTTGCTGGGGATGTGCCCGCAACCAAGGTACATGCCCTTGACCGGAATCGAACCTGAGACCCTTGAGTCCGCAGGCTGACGCTCTATCCACTGAGCCAAACCGGTTAGGGCAGAAGACCTGAGTTTTCGCTTGTTTGATTATATGGTCAAATTTAGCTGTGTGACTGAACAATGTCAAAACCTTTCTGAGCCCCAAATTTTCCTTTGTAAAATTAAGTACTTGAATTGGATTAACTCTAAAGTCCTTTTCAGTTATGTAAATCCAGGGATCAGAAGAAAGAGAGCAGAAAGCAAGAGGGGAAATTTAAACCTATATTGGCATTACATTAAATGGAAATGGTTTATACATTCCAAGTAAAAGACAGAGAATGTCAGATTAGATAAAATTTAGTATGTTTCTACCAGAAATCAACTTTAAATTTAAAGACACAAGTAGGTTTAAGTAAAAGAATGGAAAAGATATAGCATGTAAATAATAATCAAAAGGAAGTTGGCGTGCTCTGGCCAGGTGACTCAGTTGGAGCATCATCCTGTACACCAAAAGGTGGCAGGTTTGATTCCTAGTCAGGGCACATACCCAGGTTGTGGGTTCAATCCCTGGTTGGGGTGCATGCAAGAGGCAACTGATCAAAGTTTCTCACATTGGTGTTTCTCTTCCTCTCTATAAATCAATAAAAAGTCAAGAAAAAACACACACAAAAATTGATAGAACTAGTATGAAAATCTAAGGAGATAGAACATTTGAAAAACACAATTAACCAACTTAACATTTATGAAACATTTCAACCAGCAACAGCAAAACATTTACCAAGAGACCATTTTCTGGGCCATTAAACCAACCTTAACAAATTTATTTTATTTATTTATTTTTTAAATATATTTTATTGATTTTTTGCAGAGAGGAAGGGAGAGAGATAGAGAGTTAGAAACATCGAT